ATGCCACGCTACTGTTTCGGATAATCGCCTAATAAACAAGAGAGAGGGGGGGGGGGGCAAGGGCGAGTGGAGGGTGTCCCACTCGAGAATCGGTATTCGTGCGACGGCAACATCTTCAGAATAAAAGGTCCTCCCCAGTCCGTTTCCTGATCTGACGTTGCTGCTTCCGATACCATTATTCTGCAGCCATATGTGGGGCAGGAAGACGGAACGAATCCCCCGCTGCTGTCACAATGACTGCAGCGTTCCAGTGTGTTTCTTTTTTACCATGCTGTTACTGGTAACTAATAAAGTGCCTTTTGGATGTGCTCGAGCACTGCACCGGTACCGGTCCCGGATCAACCCTGCTCGCGCTTGATTCGTCCCTTTTCAACATCCTTCCTTTCTCTAATTTTTTCCCTACTCGAGTATTTCGTACCCGCCCACGTGCTCTAGTACATAAGTCCGTGGGCGGTTCTATTATTACTCGCTCCTCCCACTTTGGGGACCCTTACCGCCCCATGGGGAGCGAGATTGGGGGTGCCGAAGCGCCGGACTTGGGAGTCTGTTTGTCAATTGATTGTCGTAACTCTCAAAACCCCGTCCCACCTTTGTGTTTCCCCGCATCTCCGGCCTGGCGCACATGGGGGAATTTAGCGAGGATGCGAACACCACCTGAGTGAGTTTGTCTCCCCGTTCCTGCCCCGGCACCGGAAGTACTCTTCGGTACTCGAGTACGAGTAGTCGAGCGCTCGTAGCGTAATTGTTTTGAGGCTTTTGACATTGAAATTGACACTGGTATGTCACTGGCTCCACTCAGAATATCATAAGACTACTCACACTTGCGGTGCTTCTAGAATAAAAAGCTCATCTCTGAAACATGTCCTGTTGGCAATTCACAAACGTGTCGGAGCTGGATAATACCGGTCATGCCTTCACTAGCCTTCGGTAGCCTTGTTTCTTGACGCTGTCAGCCCATCCACCTTCGGAGCTCGCCGCCAACTTGGAGCTCGCAGCCTGACATCCCGCAACTATCGTACAAAATCCTCGCCAGCTTCCAAGCGTTAATAAATAAAAAGCAATATGAGAATCTGGTGATTGGCATCAGAGTCTTCCGAGCTCCATTTGGGGTATCGTCGTGCTTTTACATACTGTAGGCCCGGGGTTAGTACTCGTACACACTGGCTATGGTGACAGCCTGAGTCGCACTCGCTCCAGCATTACTGTGAGTCGATTGACACCCTGTTTTCCTGATGCCCCCAAAGGATACCTAATCCACACAACCGTACCGATATTGGCTATTGCGAGTTTTAGTTGCTTGGAATCGACTCAACAGTTGGCCTGCTGGCAAATGTGGTCTTGCGGTCAGGCGCCATTAGTCACATGCTGGCTGTACGAGATAGGCAGTGTATTCCTGCCTCCACGGAAATGATTGATTTGAATATTTCCTCAGATATCCAGTAAGGGATCAAGATACAACGCCAACCATTAAAGTGGTATTCGAGAAGCTCCCCGTCGAGGCATTTTGGGTAATCAGAATAATAATTTTATTATCTGTGGTACAAGATATAATCTCCACTATCAAACTGGCTGGTCATTTGTTCATTCCAGGGTTCACCCTTTCATCGATATCAATGCATTTTTCTTTGCACATTCACCTATCTCAGTATTGGCGGCTCCAACCGGCTCGAGGCACCTGTTGCGCAAAATGTGTAGGTCCCTTATTTCCCGGATTCATCACACGCGCTTTCACAAGGCTTTAAGACCAGGGGATGTGACGAGGCGCCGGGATCAAGACATAAACACTGGAACTACGGTACTTTACCTGGAATTTTGAGTAGTGTATGCACATTATACAATGCGCATAGAAATTCTGGCTCAAATTAACGGTTAGCATGAGCTCAGGACTGCCCAAGGGCAGTGTGAACCCTGTGTAGGGCTGCGATTGTGGTGCCGTGGTATTGTACTGTGCGGTATTGTACTGTGCCTCGGGACTACCATAATAACACTACAGCATCCCTGCCCTGGAACTATCGTTACGGTGCAGCATTCTCACCTACAACATTTTACATGTTGGGCTAAAGCGCCCATCGTCTCTCGGGGTCGCAGATAATTCTACTATAAACCTATCGAAGGGACTCTGCCGTGCATTCATGGAGCCCCAGATGTGTTTTAGTTGAAAACTGGCAATAAAATTACCCGAATCTCTGGTCCCAAGGCATATGGAAAATGAGGAGACAATGTATCACACGGGTTGGCAAGGATCTAGGTTCACGGTCAAGCATGGAAGGGTAGGGACAGCTTGAGTGATGTCACCGGGCGAGCGCAAGTTTTGTAATAGAATATAAGGAATGATTATTGGATATCGGAAGATAAGCTTTGTGCCCTGGAGAATTCCGGTGGCCAAGGGAGCATTTAACAGACGCACCATTAGGCACCTGAGCACAATGCACAGACCTTTTCCGTGCGGTCAACTAAACAGCCAGCAGCTTCACAAGTGCTGTGTACGGTACTAGTACTGTACTTGTAGTTACTTAATTATTGCTCGGGGATCGTTCGCGTTGACCCTGAGCCGTCAGCATACCGGTAGTTGAAGCATTTCGTGCCGCAAGACTTCTGCACGATAGGATTTAGGCAAGAGCCCAGATCTGAGCTTGCCCCTCCTGTTGGGACTGTGTAGAACCATTTCTACAAAATCAGTAATCGTCGATCAACATTTCTCGACTCACCGCCGCACCACCAACTCATATATGGCAAACACCCTTCGTATGATACGGCCGCTCGTATAACCAGACAACCGACAAATACCGCTAACAAAATCACTATCAATGCTTTCCGCCCCTTCTGGACATCCAATAGCGATGCGAAATGCCATTGGAGTGGAGATGACGCATAGGTTCCGAATTTTCAGTATTCGCCGGGGTATACACCTTCGACGCAGGGCTGGTGACACCGCATACCCACATGTCCCCCCAAATTTGCCGGTTGTGGTGGTGCTGGTACGAGTAGTCCTGTTCCCTTGGTGCCGACTTGGAGGGGTTTTGTGGAAATTGAATTGGTGGTGCGGGGTTTGGAAGTTGGGCACGGTCTCTTCCCCTAGAAGTTTGAGTGGCTTGGCTATTCCTTGGCTGGGCTCTTATGAAATAATACGGCAGTTGGTGCGCATGTGTGTGTATATGGGAGGGCAAAAGAAGTGCCGGTAAACAACAACTGGCAGATACAAGTAGACTAGGTGGGGGGGGGGGGAACTGATGGGCGAACGCTGGATGTGATACTTTGGAAGGTGTAGGGTACGGAATCAGGGAACATTTCCGCTCTGGATGGACCGAGTGCTTGGATCGACGTTAGATGGTGATGCTTAAAGCCGGTGCGCTGGAACCAGTGCACGGGCTGTTGGGTCGCCTCTTATTCTCGATTGTGCTCAAGGATCGAGGAAGATTATTCCGAGTGATCGATTGTTTATCACCAGCGAATTATGTTTATGTCTATCTGACACTGGATATGTCGTATCATATCATACCATGTTCGATGCTGACCGAGACCTGCAACCGCATGGCTCTGTATTCGGAAACGCGGTGATCCCTACCCAGCATCTGCAGCATTTAACCGAAAACTCGGGTGATAAGTTGTGAAGCGAGAAATCCGATTTACGAGTGACGTACTGTGAACTTATATAATAGCCGCTTAGTCTTTATCAGATTGTCGATCATCATCCCACCCAATCTCAACTAGCTTCGGTAGACCCGCTATTGCTGCTGTCCCACATTAAGCTGCATCCCACCCACCCCACCTCGCCCCTCCTCCTTCGTCCCCCTTCATTAGGCCCCCTCCCTCCCCCTGTGCGCCCTATCTACGACGAGGACGCACTCTCCATTCGAGAGCGCTCAAAAGGCAGAGATAACGATCCCGATCAACTCTTCTACCCTCTTCTCTTTCCTTGGACGAGCCGATACAAAATGGAGGGCGACCCACCTTCTCTGCCCCCGCAGATGTTCACGACTTCCGCTCAGTTACTCGATCTCACCGATAGTATGTGCGCCCCGCGCATCCGATCCGATCAGGGGAGTTCGCTGCTAACATTTTATTCGACCTATAGAAAAACTCCTGGTCGCACTCCGTGATGGGAGAAAGTTGATTGGTGTTTTAAGGTCCTGGGATCAGGTCTCCTAACCCCCTCCCCTCCCCATCTCCATTCTTGTATTACCCCTGGCCAATTTGTGCACAGCATGTTAATGTCCCTGCGTATCACAGTACGGTGGGTTCCTCCCAACCAAGGGAAACCAATAATTTACTGACCCGGAAACCAATAGCAAACCTTGTCTTGCAGAGTACCATCGAGCGCTTATACGTCGGGGATGCGTACTGTGACATCCCGCGCGGGGTCTTCATCGTCCGTGGGGAGAATGTGCTGTTACTTGGGGAGATTGTTTGTCCTCTTTTCTCTACCGGTTCTCCCGGTTGTGGGCTAACGATCAGCAGGACCTAGATAGAGAAGACGACATACCCTTCCGTCGCGCCTCTGTTGAGGAGGTATTCGCTGCACAGAGGGCTATAGACACTGAAAAGAAGAGAACGGATAAAGTTCATAGGAAGAAATTGCGTGCGCTCGGGTTTGAGGATGAGGGAGAGGTGCTTGTTTAGGCGGTTGTGATGACAGAGATGTCAATGGGAGGTTGAAAGGATGGATGGATGGGATGGAAAGGCCTTGCTATATTTAATCCAAGGCGGAGAGATACCTGCCTCCCGTTATTTTTTAGTTGGAGAGCAGGAATTTAGTTAGTCGGTCATTAGTGGAGTTGCCGGGATTGATAAAAAAAAATTAAAAGCTCTATTACATCTACTTTTTGCTCGGTTGGTTTGCTGCTCCGATTGGGGTGAAATGTGAGTCTGATTTGATAGTTTCTAAGCACGTGGGTTTACTACTGCTACTGCTGTTGCTTGTGCTTCTTCACTTCCGCGATAATCAGGTCCACAGTCCACGGTAATATCTCGCTCATCAACCAGTCTATATCCGGAGAATGGATTCCTTGCGAGGAGATCACCTCCCCATCGAGCTCCCCTTCCACATCACCGTTCACGAACAAGTGTTTGTGAGCTTTTACCTGCGACATGTTAGAACTTCTACACCGCCACCATCCAGTACAATTTGTGGTGACAAACTCACATAATTTGGCCAAACAATGTCATCCCAATATCCAGGAGGGTCCGTCCAATACCCTACCACTCCCCCGAAAGACTCGCATCAGCAAAAGGCCCGCTGAGACGGTGATGAATGGAGAAGGGGAAGAGAGTGGACAAACCTTCAAGAGTCGCATAAACACTCCTCCCCTCCCTCCTCCTTTTAGCAACATCATACCGGCCGCGTAAGAATATCTTGACATCCAAAACCTCCATAACACGTTCCTCAACAAACATCAAAAAACCCTCCACGAATGCCAACTCTTCCCCCCCTCCCCCTCCCCCTTCCACCCCCCCCTCCTCCCCCTCTCCCCATCCCAACTCCTTGAGAACTTTACCCCTGCACCCCTCCACAATTCCTGCCTCAACCCCCCCCCCACTTTTGTCAAACTCGACCAAATCTTCGAGACTGTCCACCCCAACCACCCGCCCCGTACGCTTCAGCTCGCGCAGAGCGCGAACGAAGCCGTCCCAGTCTATGGCGGCGGGGCAGTCCCAGTCCTGCAGACCCGACTGGGACGATACGGGGATTTCCATGTCTGTGTGAAAGAAGTCGTCCTGGTGGAGGCACATGGGCGGGGGTGGGGAGAAGATGGCTTGCAAGTGGCGGGTCAGTGTCGTTTTCCCCGTACTGGATGGGCCCGAGATGGCGATTAGGAGGGGTGCCATTTCGGGGGGTTTCTATGTATTGGAGGGGGGGGGCGTGTGACGGGATTGGTTGGATGGGTAAGTGGCTTGGCGGGGGACTAGTGTGATTGCCGTGATTGGCGAGTGAGATTATGTGAAGCTGGGAGGGATATTGGGATGTGGAAGCTTTAATAGAGGGCAGTACCGTAGGGTAAGCATAGGGCCTAGAATTTCTCCCTCAAGCTTCCGCAAAGGAGCCGGAGATCCGTGGGAAACACCGCCTCCACACGATATATATACCCTGGACATTCCAATCCAGCCTGGAATAAGGAATATACCATGGAAACTCCAATTGGGCTGGGGGCCATGTCGTTTTCCATGCGTTTGTTCGTTGGAGTTGCCTCCCTAGTAATGTTTTGTGCTTTTTTTGTATGTATGACATCTCTCGGAGGGGCCGAGAAAATTGCCCTTTGCTGTGTTGTTCGCCTTGTCTTCCAGGTGGGGAACTTTGGGGTACATTGCGCATTGTCCAATTGTTCAAGATTATGTAGTACGAGTAAGTTTCCATCCCAAAGTGAAATATTACTTATACAGTACAGTACATGTGCAAAGGAAAGTGAAAGTGAAGGGGAGTAATTATTGCAGTATTTTGCGACTGCTTTGGTAGGAGGAGTGGACGGGGGTGTTGGTTTTTTTTTGTGCGTATGATGCTGTTGGTATGTAGTGGGATTGTAGGTGATAGCGCGGGTATGATAGGTTGGATTGAGCCTTTTATGGTTTCTTTCCTCACTCCCGTCGCATCCCACACTTGACTCTATTTTATAATACTCGTACTTTGCGACTCGTGATGGAATACCGCTGTATCATGGTAGAACTTATTATCAACGTATTCCACCCCATCCCTGTGCCAATCCTTCTCTCCCTGTTCGCAGCGCAGCGCAGTTCAACCATTGCAATCCGCACGTACTCGCACAGCACCGTCCGTACATTCCAGAGCACTACAAAAAAAGTTATTTCGATATCTAAACTGTGATACAAAGTCCCAATGCAAAACAAGCCCTGTCCCACGAGAAGGACGGCGACGGGAGCGCATCCAATCTAGAGAAATATTATATTTTTTTTGTCCCACCATTCGTTTGCCCGGCTCGGGGCACTACCCGGGTCTAGATTATATGCCCTTCTTGAAATGTTTCTCATGCGAGGAGAGAGAGAGGGAGAGAGAGAGAGAATGTGTGTCCCTTGACTGAGGCGGATGAGAAGAGACGAGAGCGCAGCTGGCCTTATGGGGAATAGCGGCTCCAATGCCCGATTACCGGTATTCTACTATAGTCTTTATAATAGGGCGTTTCATTTTCTGCGCCAACGTCAACGCCATCCCGATCACAATCCGCTCTCTCCATGTCTGAGGAAGAATATGTATATATAAATAACGACTCGCTCCCTCCAGCCCTGGAAGGAATTGGGGTGGCGACAAGGAGTAAGTAAGCAACAGCAATGAGTGGGCGGAAGGTGCGCATTTAAGCATCCGCAGAGAAAAAAGACGCCTAAAGGATTCGCACACCGAAAATTGTATTATAAAAATGGTGAATACCTCTTCCGTAAAAGCGATTCCGTTCGGATGATGTATTTCGACTGGAGGGGGTGGGGGGGGTATTGCTAAACGACAGGAATAAGAAGTGAGCAGGTCGTCAGTTTCACTTTGAGCGCAAAAGAGTTTTTGAGAAGGTTAAAACGGTGGTGGGGTGTAGCGGAAGAGTATGATACTACAGTAAACTGCTGCTCACACCTTACGAAAATCCCGCTCAGAGCGTTGCGGTCGACTTTTTTTTTTTTTTTTTTTTTTTTAAGTCCGGGGTCATAGGTAGAATTGCTGTACGGCGTCGAGATAATAACAATGCCTGCGCCATATCGTCTCCTCCCCTGCTATGATCGGCACGCAATCGTCTGAAATGATTGGGGAAATTAAGGAGCCGGAACCAACTTCCAATTCCTACTACAGCAGCTATTTACGTCATAGAGCAGCATTCGAGCCGCTGATAACTGTTCAATTCCCCCCCCCCACTCTGCATGAGTTATTATTGAATAATACCAAATCCAACACTTATAGCAGGAGAATCGAAAGGGAAGAGAAGAGAGAAAAGAGAAAAAGGCTGCTCAATCGGAATCGTGAGCTTGAAGACCCTTACCTTTCTTTCCCCCATAAGGTTGTGGAGTGAATCGGTCATGATGTGGTGGAACCAGAGTCCGGGGGAAAAAATGGACAGGAAAGAAATTCGTTCAACTCCCTTTGAGTCTTGAACGGTTACTACGAGCTAATTACTGCATACTACGCAAACCTGCCGGTACTGTACAAAGTACAGGACGGATATCACAGCATGGTATATATATTATCATGGAAAATCACTCGTGATTATAACCCCCCTCCCCCCCCCTCGCAAGGTCATAATATGGATGGTGGAAAGTATCATCTCTGTCTGCGCCATACCCACGTTTATGCACGGTGGGTCCGTTCCATCTTGTTGGGAAAGGTTTTTCACTTGGCTTAGCCGAGTGGGTCGCTTTCTCGGTTTGAAGTCTTGCTGAAAAGGTAAGGTAAACAGAAAAAAAAAAGAGGAAGCAGATTATCCTGGCCGGTGGGTAAAATATAGTTAATATATAATTCCCAAAATGGTTTTTTCTAATTATTGATCACTATTGTGCTTATGTGTTTATCATACTTTACTGATAGGTCCACGACTCTCATCTATCCATCCTCCCCCGAGTCCCAGTTATGATGATGCCACTCCTTCACCTGTCATTTCACCACCGCACTGGCAACCCCTCCTACCTAATAGCCCGCACCTTGGAGTTTTTGCTTTCCCATATGAGCACTATCCCTTTCCCCTCTTGAATGGCTTGTTGCGCTAAAGCGTGACTCCAGCCACTACCGGAGACCGGGAAAAAATAAGGCTGTCAAAGTGAGGTTTGTTAGAGTAAAACTGTGTGATAAGAAACAATACAGTTTTGCGATACTATCGCTTCTCCTTCTGAGATTTCTATTGCCATATAATTAATTTAAATTACCAACAAGTAATATATCAAGAGAAGCGACAGAGACAGGTGAATATTTTTATTACAAGTGAAGCGAAAAAGTCAACAAACTTCATCAGATTTCTCCAATCCCCTGAGTATCTACAGTTTCCTGAGAAAACTAAAGTAGAATTCATGATTACGATCATATCAGAGTGGGAAGGGAATTCTCATCATTTGAGTTTGTTGTACTTTAGAAGCAATATGCCCTTATAGATCTTTCTCTTATTTGCATTAGTAGACGACATTCCGTAGCCTATATCCGACAAGAACGAGCACGACATAGCCTCCAAGAGCTCTCACTCGCCCGGAATAGCACAAAGCTTTCTTCCCATCCACCCTGCCAGAATCCTCAGCCCGAGCCTTCAAAGTCAAGCTAGCATCCACCCGTGAAGGGAATAGATCCTCCTCGCACACTCGCCGCCGCCGGAGCGCTCCCCCCCCACTTCACCTCTTCTTTGCAAACTCCCACATGATAACAGAGGAGCGGAGACCAACGAACTTCCAGGCAAAACTCTTCGCTTTCAAGTCCCCGGATTCTACTCCTAAAGTCCCAACTCGCCACCAAAATCCAGCCTAGTTAGCCCAGGGCGGGTTGGGAAGCTACCGAATGGGCGAAGACGACGGCTACTATAGGACGCTTTTTGTTTCCCCTTCTCTCCTACTTTGATTTCTGTTCTAGCAGGTTGCCAACTTGTTGGCCTGCTAAAATGAGTTCTATTTAGGTACCCCCAGATAGGGTCATCGCCTCGACATGGCTCTGGAGCTTTGAATTAAGAATGGTCCACCAAAAATCAATTGAGAGAATTGCTTCTCTGGTCCGGGAAAAAAAGAGCTAAACTCATAGAATATCACTCGCCGTCACTTAAGGACCCCGATGTGCCGAATTTCACCTTCAAAATGGGAAACCCTACCGGGATAGCGACCTACTTGGTCGGAGAACATCCCCTTGGCCAGGCGAAACCCCCCAAAGAGAAACCTATCCCAAACACAATCCGCACATCCAATAGCTAGCCTATTCGCTTCTACTCAAGCGTGAGATGGGAAATGACCTGTGTCCGGCTGGAATAAGAAGCTGCTTGTGTGCATACACCAGCCTGGTGGTGCGGTACTTGGGGACCCGGAAATGGTCAAAATCTGTCGGAGTTATTCTGCTGAGCTCAGACGCTCTGATGTTTGCGTTCTTTCCTCTCCTTCTTTCTCTTTCCAGTTCCCCTCTGTTGTATCCTGCTCAGCGCTCTTTTTTTTTTTTTGGGGGGGGGGGTGTTGGGGAATCGGTTCATTGTATGATTCGCTTTGCCATTCGTACATGAATATACGAGGCAGGAGGTGCGCTTGGGAGGTGTGGTGGATATGGGAGTAGATAGAATTGCTATATTTCACAACTGGGGGTTTTTCACGATTTGAGATCAACTTATCACACCCTCCTTCTATAACCGGTTGGAGAGATCCCAAGCACTACAATATTATTCTAGTGTGTTCATAGTGTTCCATACCGACACTAGCTAGTTAGTTCCTGCTTCTACTCATTAGATCACATCGGGTAGTTCATGTTCTAGATAAATATCAAAAAAACTAAATAGAATAAATTTGAAATAAATGAACCATCGATACACCATAAGTTAGGCAAGTTACATATCCGAGTAAAGAAGAAAAAAGAGAACCACTGTAAAAAGACATCGCCCGCTAACAACCATCAAGAACCGTGTCCAAATCCCCAATCTTCAGGTCCACATGACTAGCCTCGTCCTCAAACACCTTCCTCCTCCTAATCACCGTACCGGAGCCATCGTGCATATCCTCCATGTTATCCAACTGATCCACGTCATTCTCAAACACTTTAGAACCCAAAATTCCCTGCATATAATATTCGTCTTCCTCCTCTCCTGCATAATTCTCATCCTCATATTCATATTCACCCTCGTCATCTCCATCTTCTCCATGGCGCTTCCCCACCGTCCCAGCAGGAAACGTTTCATTCTTGACCTTCTCCATAAACACGCTCAGGGCTAATTCCGCCGCTTTTGTGCGCGCCTCAGAGCGGCTAGCTGCCCTCACGCTGAGTAACTTCTCCTCGTTCACCATTACCGCGCAGGAGTAACCGCCTCCCTCTACGGATTGCACGTATTGTACAGTCCCTTGACCGTTGGCTGCGACGGCTTCCCCGAGCTTCTTAACTGGGTGAGTGACATCCACATGATCCGCCACCAGTCTCTTGAGGACCTTCAAGATTCCCAGGCGCTCAGCGAGTGATTGAACCGTTTCAAAGTCCCCGCCGGAATCGATAAACACCGCGCCTATTATTGCCTCGACTACGTCCGAGAGGAACTTGTTCCGGCCCGACTTATCTGATTCTAGCGGGGAAAGCTCGGTCCATGGGTAGTCCTTTCCATAATCCAGGGCTGCCTGAACACTGTCGCGGAGATCCTCCTCGTAGCGTTTCGAGCATATTTTTTGAGCGTGCTGGATCTGTTGATGTTGGTGGCGGATGAACTTCCACAGTTCGACTTTGCGGGACTTGTTGACGATTTCTACTTCGGTGCTTTGCGCGCGCTGACTGATTCCATAGTACTTAGCATCGACAGCACAGCGGAGAGAGAGGTACGCTAAGAAGTTGCCGTTTACTACGGAGGACTTATACAAGTGCATGTCGATGTGTGAGAGATTGCGGGGGGAGAAGAAGAGATGGTTTACGACTACCATATCTAATAGGGCGTCACCGAGGAACTCCATGCGCTGGTAGGAGAGCGAGGTCATGTCGGATTCCCAGGAGGGGTGAGTAATAGCTTCCAGCAGGAGGGCCTTATGCGTAAAATGGTAGCCTATTAGCGATTCAAGGCCTTTGAGGTGGGAAAGGTGGACTTCTGGGTATCGAGATGCTCGGTTTAGCAGTGAAGTGGTTCGCTCCTCAAGAGATTTCCAATTGATATTAAGCCCAAATGCTCGGATGACTTTAAGAGCCTTCGGGTAATTACCCTCGAGGTAAGCCGCACCGATTAGAGCTTCAACAACGTCTGCAAGAATCTTTGTCGACAACTGTTTGGGCCCCTTGCGTTTCTTCTCTGGGAACTCTTCCTCCTCTGATATCACATATCGCGGTCGCCATTTTGATCCAGTAAATATATCAGTAATAATCCATTTTGCTAGTCGGTTGTCAATGGCTGCGCGGGCTAACCGCGAATTTGCGACCATCTGTTCCTTCTTCCTAGTGAGGTACCCTTCGTGCCAAAAAGGGTGCTCATCTAGAAGATTGACAGACGTGAGGAACTTCAAGACAGAATCACCAAGAAACTCGAAACGCTGATAATCTGTGGATTCCCTTGCCGACGAAGCAGATAGTGCTGTAACCATTTTGGGTATCGAGTTGAAACCAACTGGGTGGAGTAATGTACGTTCTAGATCTGCCGCGATAAACGACATCTCAATCCGTCGGATAATACCAGGCAAGTACATTGCAAATTGAGAGTACTTCCAAGGCACTACATCCACCGTGCATAACTCGGGTATGAGTAATGTCGAGCTTTCCGAAGAAGGTTCATTAGATTCTGGGTGGAGGAAATCTCGACGGCCGGAAAGTCTTATCGCTTCGATGAAAACGCCATTTTGGTCAATCGCCCTCCCCTTGTACCGGTCTAGAAGGTTCTCGTGCTCTTCAGGGGTCACGCCGCTCCGCCACCGCTGAATCACATATCTCACACCATTTTGAGAGTTATCCTTAATAATTCCGATATCAGGGCTAGCTTCCCGCGTCCTGTAGGCGTCCAAAAGCGTGACGGGAACTTCATCACCCCTTTCCACCCAATCATCTGCTTCGTTCTTCGGCACAAAGAGATAAGGGAAGTCTTTCACTCCAGGTTTCATCCTGCTCCCAAATATACACGAGAGCAAGGCATACGTTGTCTTCTTCCCTCTTTCGATGATCCTCGGATTGACACCCAGGCATCTCGAAGGTCCGACTGTGACCTCCCCGATATCCGAATTGGTGCGATATACCATGATCTTGGCAACGTCAGGACAAGCAAAGTGGGTCAAGATCTCAACCACAACAGGACCACCACTGCTAGGCATATTAAGCGTGATGGGCGTAGCGAACGCCACTGTATCCTCTTCCCACTTCTTTTCAGACCAAGGATCCATGGTATTGTCAACAGCAACTTTTGAGGGCCTCTTCTCGAGTTTCTTGGTCGCATCCGCAATATCGGGGTCAGTCTGTAATAATGGCATCAGATGATCGTCGATGAGCGGATCACCCTGAAGCTGCCGAAGTGCAAGATAAGCCTCGAAAGCCGCATCGCGCTTTGCCCACTTTTCTGTTCCCCAGGCCTCTCTACTCCGTGCTCGTCGTACCTCGGGGGCGATACAATTCGGTAGTAGAACCTCGGCCATATATAATGGTCGCGCCGACAAGCCAGAACCCATCGCTTTCAGAGTGTCCAATTGCTCCTGGTTCACAATCCAAGTGTGGAAGATTGGGCGAAGATCCATGTATTCGCCCCGTGGAAGGCAATTGCAAAAATGATGAAGATGAGATACAGCTGAATCAAGCGTTAAGAGAGCGCTATTGAGCATATCAGCATCATAAAATCTCGCTCGGAATAAGTTATAGTTACGAACCCAGTACTTTCGATCTGGAAGCGTCGGTTTCTACCCTTGTTAAGGATACTGTCCTCATCTGGATCTTCAGTTTCTGTCTTCGTCTCGGCCTCGAGCTTCCTTGTCTCATCCAGGTATTCCTCGATCATGTCCATCTCCAGCTGCTTGAATTTATCAATCTTTCCCTGAGTATCGCCTTCGTTAAACATCAAAACATAATTACTCTTAGCCATTCTCGCCCGTCCGCGACGTTGAATAAAGCTCTTGAGATTTGGCGGCAAGGAGAAGCAAACGACAAGGCGACACGCTGGAATATCCATACCCTCCTCAACGACGCTAGTAGACACGACTAGATTCTTCTTACCAGCCCTAAAATCCTCAATTGTCTCGTACTGTCCTTTCAGGTTAACAAGTTCATATATAGCTTTTCTAGTCCTTCCATTGCCTTCTGAAACGCCGACAACAGTTCCGACTCGGAATATATCTTTCGTTCTCGAATCCGTTTTCAGGATTTCTGCCAAAATAGAGACCCCCACCCGCTGCTCAACGAAGATCAATCCCGCAAATTTCCCACCATCATCCTTATGCTCACCCAGAAGCACTTCAATCAGCTTCTCAACCTTATCCGAAAGCCTCCCTTCTATTGGACCAATGTCCCTGGGAACAGCTATTTTCGAAAGAATCGACTTCAAATAGCGCTTTTCCTCGTTGTTCCACTCCATCCACATACTCTCCGGGTCCTCCTCATCAGCGAACTTGATAGCCTTCTGAATAGCGTGCTTAAGATAACAGTCCACGCTCCAAGCACCAAACTCTTTCCGGAGGTGAAAGGCCTTATTCAAAAGCCCACGCATCTGTACTTGACAATACGTATTACGCTTTGATATAGTCGTCTCTATACGTCCCAGATCAGGGGGATTGGCGGACTGGAGAGCTTTTATATATGGATCCTGCCGGATGTCCATCGTTGCCCAGGCTAATTGGAGGGAGTCGAGAGCGGATGGCACGTTATCGGTGGCAACACCTTGCTGGGTTAGGTAAACTTCATCGGGTTCCGCAACCCCTCGCCCAGGGATTGCCAATTGGGTGATGTCTTCGCTTGCCCCCTCGGTTGGTGGGTTCACATATGGCTCGCCAGTGAGTGGATCGATCAATTCGTACTCTTCTGGGCGAGTCACTGGAGTACCCGGTCGACCATCTTCATAAGGCTCAGCTGTTAGCGGATCAATCATTTCAAATTCCACCTCGCTCGCACGCTTGCGATAAGGCTCCCCGGTCGATGGGTCTATTTCTTCATACTCGTCAATATTATCAGTGATTTCGCTGTTCTCTAGTGCGGTATCGAAAGAATCTGGAGTCTTCATCCCACTAGACGGAGTGCTGTCCGCAGCAGGGAGCTTTGACGTCGTCTGGGACTTAAAATTGCTGATTTCAGGCACGAGAATCTTCTCCTGGGGTGCAATATCTTTAGCCGGGATCTCGACTCCTTTTTCTGATAAGCCCATGGGATCAATTGCCTCTGGCCACATCGTCTCTGAAAACTTCCTCTTTTTGTTTTCGTTAACCTGATCGGGGAGATCCTCCAGAAAGGATGGGTCAATAAGTTCATATTCTTGAAACGACGACTTATAAACAATTCTCTTCAGTACCGGTGGGTGAACATGTCGTAGCAATTCTTCACGATTCCGTACCGGTGTCCGAGATATTGCGTTCAGGTTGGTCTCAATCACTCTAACATAAACCCAGTTAGCTAAAACTCCAATCCAAAATTTGGGAGAAACGTGCCGTAGCTGATCCGGGGTCGACTTCACAACTGGACTAGCTGTGAGTCCAAGAACAGCTGGAACTTCCAATCCCTTGCGTACTCGAGGGTGGTAGAACTCCTGCATGATCCGGTTTGCAGGGTGTTGTCCGACACAATGATGGGCTATTAGAAAGGACTTAGATAATTCACAGCACACAATACCCCCAATTTCCATAGAAATTTCATGGTATTGCTATCGGTTGGTTATGGCTAGAGAGTCTCAAACCTTCGTCGAATACAATCAATCCTATTCCTTCCATCCTAACAAATCCATGGGTTAACGCATCTAGTAATACCTATTTCTCGGTCAATTTCAGGTTTCCGGTTTATCCCTCTAGTCACTCACTTGATGGGTGCTGACAACGACCGCGTGGTCATTGTCCTTGATGCCTAGAATCTCGTCCCAGATCTCTTGGTCACTCCACTTGTCGACTTTATCACCTCCGCTGAGGAATTGAATGTTAACCGGCGGTAGGGAGGCCTTTAGCACTTCATACTGTTGATTTCCTAAGGAAACATTGGGCACTAAAAACCAGGAAAGCTATAGCCCACGTTAGCAAGTGGTGGTCTATGTGCAACAGGCTCTTGACTACCTTATCCTCTCCCTTCTCCAGTTGAGCCTGAATACGGAGCACAGCACTATCGGTTGAACAGTTAGCTAACCAAGCTCACCACATCCGGTGTCCAGCATCCCAGCATGGTAAGCACAGCGATAGCTCAGCTATCCGCCCTCGACCACACAAACACAACAGGAAAGACCCTACATGTGAGTTTTCCCCGATCCCGTATCCATCTATCCATTGCCGTCAGCTCTACCAAAGCCCAATAAGCTACCAGAAAGAACAGGGGGGTGATTCCCTACCGTAACAACAATATTCCTCTTCAAGCTCTCCTCAAACATCTCCATTTGATACGCTCTAGCCCGCTCTGGTGGGTCCTTCAACTTCCGCATTCCAATCCCGTTATCTGCACCGTTGACCGCCATACTGACACTATCGCCCATCCTCATGCTAATAGAAAAAGCTCTTTTCGCCAGGAAAAAATACGGCGGGGATAAAAATAGTGAATAACCCTAAACAATTAAGTTAAGTGGTACAATAAATATCAGTTTGGTTCCTGGCACGAACAGTTGAGGTCAGCCGCAGTTTTATATGGAAAGTGCTTGGGCCGATGCTCGAGTAAAGGAGACGTAGAAAGGACATCGGCAATAAACTAACTAGATCCGGCTAAGAGCGGGGTAGGTCCCGATGGCGGGAAGGACGCCTTAAGGATTGAGGCTAGGGTAGAAATAGCGAGGGAGAGACATAAAGGGGAGTTCCAGGAGCTCTGGAGGGCCCCTAATAGAACGGACGGGTAGAATGCTATGGGGGTTAGGGAGGTTAAGAATTGGATCGGGAATACACAGCAGAGAGATACTCAAGTACAGTGGTCGTGCCGAGCAGCACCGCACACGCACAAAGGGCCAAGTTGTCGTACTGTAGTATGAGGAAATGCAGCAATGCAGGCACAGTCCCTGTCACCCATCGCTTTATCATCTGCGATCAAACACCCAACCACATGGCGCTGGAGGCCTAAGAATCCTGAAGCGCATTTGCGCATGACATTCGAGTTGATACATATAAACCCTCCTACGAGCAGAATCAGTAACGGGAAGGTGAAGAAAGCCTGAATGGCTAACCTATGTGGCCCTTGGGACTCCACCACATAGACTAACAAACACCGCTGAAAAAAAAAACCTCAGTCAGGCCCATAGTTATGGTCAAACCTCAAGGATTAAGTACCGGTATTGTGGGCAGAGCGCGCTCCGGCGTGACGGCCCCACCGCTAAGAGCCGCAAGCGTTTCTCAGCAAAAAAGCATTAGTAAGCCAGCCAGAAAAAGTAAAAAGTAAAAATAAAAAAATACCGTCCAAAACCAAGTCAGGAGCACAGTAAGGTACAATACACCGCCAACCGCCGCAACATGAGCGTATTAAGCCGCATGCTCAGGCGTAGTGTTCGAGTACTATCTTTGACCACATTGTGCGAGCACAGTATGAAGTACTGTACCGGTACCAGTACTACTTTACACAGTCCTGGGATCGCGCATCCGGGCACATCCACGGTCCACCCTAGCAATCCATTCACTCATTCATCCATTCATCGGACCATTCCTAAAACATTGATATACACCGGACAGCTAGGCCCGGCAAGAGGGGATAATGGAAATCTTTGTTCAAAACCACACTTCGTTTCGCCAGCTCAACCTTTGATAGATCTTGATGCAACCCACGCGACATAAGAGGCTGTTACCCTCAGAATTCGCTGACACCCCCCCCCCACTTTACACCAAAATGGCTGATTTTAAACACATTCAACTCATCCAAAAGCAATAGGGAATCTAGGAAATCAATTCCATTGTGTAGGAAATTACCTAGAATCTCTGCATAAAAATTATGTCAATTTTTCCTCTCCACCTCGAGGGCCAGGAGCTGCGCGGCCAGATTGGATGCAGTTGCAATATACTTTTCATCTGGGAAGCCCAGATAAAATTAGACATAGACCACCCGGACCCTCAGCGAGGCGGTACCCTCAACGAGGCTTGGCTAAGCTTGGCTAAGCTGGGCGGGGAGTAAAAAATTGAACGGCATTATCATAGTTGTAGTAAAAGTACCTCAGTCACAGTATTGATCAACTCCAAAGATGCCTTCACAAGATATCAAAATCTCAACCCGGCTTCAAGAGCAAATGGCCATTGAAATGGCCTCCACGGGTATTGCCCCAAGCGTTTCTGAAGCAGCAGAAATGGTGGGGACAGCACCATCAACACTGATGAATCGATGACAAGGCAGGAGGAGTAAGGAGGAGGAGGATTCCTGAAGGCAGAAGATGACTCCAGAGGAGGAGCGAGAGGTTGTTGAGCGCTGTTGTAACTGGTATGGGTACTCGGCTATTGGTTTTGTTTTATGTTTTGTTTTAAGTATCGTTTTGATACTTGGTTTGTTTTTAGTATCGTTTAATACTTGGTTTGTTTTAAGTATCGTTTGATACTTGGTTTTGTTTTATGTTTTGTTTTAAGTATCGCTTTGATACTTGGTTTGTTTTTAGTATCGTTTGATACTTGGTTTGTTTTAAGTATCGTTTGATACCTGGTTTTGTTTTATGTTTTGTTTTAAGTATCATTTTGATACTTAATTAGTTTTACCAAAGTGTATCACTTGAACCTTTGATTAGTTTCATTCATGCTAGACATAAACAGATTTGTGTATTTAAAGACCGCCTGATTCCACGATGGAAAAGACAGACTTTGACAGACAGTATTTCAATATACTTGGTTGAACAGTTATTTCTTTGTTCCTCAGTACACCTACGAAATCTCCTTTAGTTCTTAGCTCTTGCCTCCTCTTCAGTAGAGCAGGCCACCTGCCAACTATCGTACCATTTACCGATAACATGATTAGCACCTTGTGAATACATTACAGCTGTTACTTCTGCTGTCACCTTGGATTTCCACCAACAATTTGGCAATTTTGAGAAATTGCCACCACAATAGTACAGAAAAGAAACTCAAACGAGATTTTAGGACAATGCTGGGAGAAAGCTTTTAAGAAGCAAGATCCAGAAGTAAAATCTCAATTTAGTAAGCAATTAGACTTTATTAGAAATATTCAGGAAAATGATATACAACTTATTACTTAGTTCTATAATGAGGTATTGGCCTATACATTAAGTTTTTTTTTTTTTGTTTTGATATATATTAAATCTTGTTTAATATTATATAGGAATAATTTATTAATAAATTTCATATAGTTAGAAAATATTATTTCCAAATATGAGATACAGCCTCAGAATACATATAATATCAATGAATTTGGCTTTTTGTTGGGATTAGAACAGTCAGAACGGATTTTGGAAGTTGTGCGTAATCTCCATGGGAATGGAGAATTAAAGTTCCATGCTCAAAGTATGTCTCCTATTGAAGATAATTGTTTTGGCAAAATATGTATTATAATAGTTACTGATAGCAAAAAGATAGAATATATGAGTTTGTATCATGAATGTGGCTTGGCAGGAAAAAGGTTTTCATGTGACACATGGTTATGCGTCACAGGTATGTTATTGTTTCACACATATGACTCATTCGAGTCATATGATTGGTTATGTGTGGGATTTGTGATGCTTTCGCATATGGCTTAAATATGAGTCATGGGATGGGCGCCTGGCAAGTATGCCTTGCAAGTGTGCCTTGCGGGTAAGCCTTGCGCAGATGATTTATGTTTCGCACATGACCTTGTTATGAGGTCATGGGTTTTACTCATTTGACTCAGTCAAGTCATATGACTTGTTTATTGCGTTATGATTAGTTTATGAGTTTTTGCACCTGACCTCGCTATGAGGTCAGGGGTTTCAAGCATGTGACCACTTTGGTCACATGACTAGTTTATTATGATTTGGTTTCGCACATGTGACCACTTTGGGTCACATGACTACGGGTGGGAAGAATACTATATAAGCAGGCTGAGGCTGCCAAGGAGGATAGGTTCTTCACGCTTTGTTCTAAGTACTTTTCCTCGTCCTTGCCGTCGCTTCGCCCTGAGCGTTTCTTTCACCATCATGATGGGCCTTGATGCCTTGGATTTTGGGGGAGATATCTGAGTTCGCTCAGTAGTTCCTGGGGTCTTTGGTATTGAGGTTTGTTAGGTGTTGCGTGGCGGACTACTTGTTTGCTTCTCGTTTCGTCGCCTGATAGTTTCTTGCGATGCTGTCACTTCGAGCACTTCATCACGGTCGCATACAAGCCCCTTTCGGTAAAATGTCTACGGCTTCCTGTCTATCGTCTACTCGCAGGTTTTGCGTTCGATTGGGGGGATTGAACATTGTGTTTAGGGAGATCACCTGTGTCGTTCTTTGGACCAGCTCATGTCTTTTGTTGGGTTTTAACGGAGTCCTTAGTTCTCGCGATACAAAATACCCTTGGGTTAGACTGATGACCTTCCCAAGTATCAACGCATCATACCGGCCACATCAATCCACTAGGGGAGGGGGCCTTGCCAGCCCCCCCCCTCCTCGTTACTACATGTTTCTACGGTCAGAATCCTACGATGTTGTTTATCACCGTTTCCTTGGAGTTTTGTTTTTGTGGCATTTACGGTGGTTCAGTCAGGTGTCTCCTCCTCGCCTCGGTGGAGATGGCTTTGACCTTGAAAAATCTTACCCCCTGGTGTGGTTTTCTTGCTACCTGGGGTGGTGTGGGTCGATTGGCTGCCAGACACTCGTATTGTCTGTGCGTCTGGGTAGTTTGGTTGTAGTCTGTGGTTGGCGGCATCACCCATTGCAAGTGGGGCCTACCTTCTGTTTGTCTGCTTCTGTTCTTTCGCGCTCCTCCTTCTTGTCGCATCAGTTGGGGACACCTCTTGCCCGTCGTTCAGTCTGTGCCTGTTGCCGGACCTGTGGGGCTGGCTTCGGCTGGCTCTGCTTACTCTTTCCCTGCTCGGTTGAACTTCGGTTTGGCTGGGTTGGATGATGTAGCACGTGCTGATGCCTTCGGGTGTTGGTGCCGCCTCCTTTGTGGCTCCCAGCTGTGGCTGGTGGGCCCCCCTCGTCTATATGGAGTCGGGGGTTATGGCTCTGTTAGTGTGGCCAAGACCAGTGGCTGCCTGATGGGGTTAGGTATAGCCGTCCTGTGGCTGTTAGATGGTTGATCTGTCTGAGGGGCTGGAGG